AATAGCAACACGTGAAATGAGAAATATTTAACCTACATAACTTATTCGAAGTATAGTTCTAAGTTCTATATTAACATTGTAAATATATTATCAGTTTCTGCTCAATTATAAAACATTTCATGTTATTGAAAGGTGAAACTTTTACAATATAATAATAATTTCTCTTTTCTATCTTGCCTGCAATACCCTTTTAAAAAATCAAAGGTTAATCCAAGGACAATAATAACATATTCATTTAAAGCCTTTTTCTAGGATAAATAAGTCAACATAAACTAAATATGCTAATACAATTCCCTGACAATTTGCTTCCATTGTTTTACAATGAAAAGGTAAAAACAAAAAAACCGCGAAAGGAAGATTGCGTTATTACTCTAATACTTCAATTATACTATTAAATTATTAGAAATTTTATACTTCAAAGTTCCTAAAAGCTAGATCTAAACAAGATACGAGGTGGTCCATTTGCATAAAAAATCAGGAAAGACGAGAATTGTACATAAAATATGACAATGCAACTACTGTGACATGTTAACATGTGAGATTTCAAACTATTAACTGACAAAAATGCCGTTCAAAGCGAAGTATGTTGGATCCCATATGGTGTTATGCACACAAAAGGACAGCCACAGGACGCTGCTCAAACAAGGATTGCAAACAGGTACTGAGTTGTCAACATCAGTGGGGTTAATTTATTTATTATTTTCAAACTGTCCAATGATGCTACGCTATGACCCCCCACCCCACCCCACCCCACCCCGGATTTTTTAACCCCATCATTGAGTCTGTTTGTATAGCATGCGATTCAAATGGAGATTGCAAACAGGTGCTGAGTTGTCAACATCTGTGCTGAGTAAATTTTTTTTTAAACTGTTCAATGATACTGCGTCATGTGTTCCCCTAGTTTTTAACCGTCATTGAGTCCGTATTTCCAAATCTTGGTTGGGGACACATTGAAGGATATCAATAAACCTAAAAGAATTTACTGCAGGTATAATCTAAGAAAGAATTTCAAGAAAATAGAAATTTTCTAAAAAGTATTATTCTTTCTTCCTCTAGAATAATCCTCATTTGGAGTGTTAAAATGTAAAGACAAAGAAGGGATAAAACTAAAGAAATGTCACTATTATTTTAGTACATAAGAGCACTCTTTTCTCTCGAAAATACAAAATGCCCAAATCAAAGTCAAGCACATCCAAAACCAATATGAAGGCTTAACTGTATAGAAACAAATTTAATGTAGAATAATATAGCCAAAATATAAAAGATATACAAAAGCAGTTAACATAAGCTAGCATATTAAGAAAAAACACTGACCTTCATCAGCAGAAGCCGCAGACACTGCTAAAAAAAGTGCAAAAAATAGTAAACCCATAATTTATTCTTCCTTTATTTTTGGCCCTTCAACTTCAAAGCTTCAATCTTGTAAAACAATGTGATTAAACGGTCTGAAGCAAATCTCCTGAAAGGAAATATTTATAGTGAGAGAAAAACAAATGCTGAGGTATCTGCTTTTGAGGAAGGGAAGAGTAGTACAGTTCTAAAAAGAGGGAAGGAGTACTGTGAAAAACGGTCAGAGAGGGAATTATTTAATATTTATTGATGTTTGTATTGTACTTATCAATCTTGGGATGTCAAATTGGGCGGTCCCGATTAACATATGCTGGCTTTTTCATTTTTCATTCATTACCGTGGACCGAAAAGATCCCTTCTTTATGCCTCCCGAAGCTTTTATTGCAAAACCCTCTATTGTTGATGCAATTTCACTGCACTCATTTACGACTGATGTTAAGCAGTAAAATCTTGAGGGATCATGTTACATGAAGATAATCGTTGACACTTCAAATAACTGAATGCACACATCTCGAGGTTGAGCATTACTTAATTCACGTGAGCCCACGCACTTTGTGAGGGTCGATCAATTAGATGAGCAATTTTCTTCTGACAACATTGCTTTATTCAAAACTTATAATAGATAAGTTTGTTTGAATTTTGCGTGGGCGCTCTTTCTTTTCTTCTTTAAAACCCAAAACAAATTGAAAATCAATTGATAGAAAACTTAGCAGAAGGATTTAAAAAAAACAAAAACAAAACACACACACACACACAAATTTTGATACAGACGAAGAAACTTTAAGTAGCTGGATTACATTCAAAGGTCCAGTGTACCGAAAATTTAAGACTTGACTCGTGCATTGAATTAATTTTTATTTTTTTTAATCAAAATCATTTGTTACAACTTACAATAATGGCAAATAATAAGGTAAATTTCATTAATAGTTTAGTGCTTTAACTAGATAGATATAAATGAATAAAAATATCACATCGTTTAATTTGTTAAAAAGCTGATTTTTTTATATATTTGAATCAAAATTAATGGAATTTGTAATTGAATAGTGAATAAAAGTCACGAATGTCATAAAAATGCATGTTAAAAATAAGTTTAAGGAAAACGAGTTTTGAAAAATTGGGACGGAAGGAAATTAATGGTCTAGATATTGTCAAACATTCGTGAGATGATAGTAGGGCCAATTTTTTTATTGTTCAATGAAATTAAAATGTAACAATGGTAGTAGATCCCATTAACATTACTCTTATTCATTAGGCTTATTCCTATACAATTTGGTCCTCATTTGTTAAAACTCATCATTTAAAAAATAAAAAAAAAATCATTTTCAACTACAAATTTCATGGATCCCACAACTTTTATAAAATTTTCAATTATACATTCACCAACTTTTATCAAAATTCACTAAATTTCTACTTTTTATCCTGACCAAATAAGGGCTCAATGCAGATATTTTTGTCTTGCAGAAGATCTTCAATGGGTTTTTATTTTTATTTTTCCTTTTCTTTGAAGTTTCTTTTAAAACATAGTTTATGGCTTGCCTACCAGATTTTTTCGGATCATCAAACAAGTACATTCTATTATACAAGATTTCCCAAAACGAGAGTAACAAACCTCGGAGTACAATAAACTCAGATAAAGCTAACCGGAGCTGAGGCCATAGGAGCAAGCAAAAATTATTTGATGTATATCTAACTTCTAATAAAAAAGGGAATGATGGTCTATTATTCATACAATAGTAAATGAATCTAATTTTACTATGCATAATGTCATTTTTTATTTTTCATTTTGTTTATGTCAAATAAATGTTTTTCCACACATCATGCCGTTAGAATTAAAAAAATAATAATACTTTTAGTAAATATAAACTAAAAAAAAAAAAAAAAAAAAAAAGAAAAAAAAAAAAAAAAAAAAAAAAATTTCACACATGAGATTTAAAAAAAGTAAAAATAAACTCTCCGCACAGTATAGAGAGATGACAAACCATGTGTGGAGTAAAAAAAGAAGAAAAAACTCTCAGCATGTGCGAAGAGATGACAAACCATGTGCGGAGAGTTGACAAACTTTCCGTACAGTGTGAAGTAAAAAAAAAAAATACGATAAACTGCAAATATTGTAGGTTGCAAATATAATAGGCGGCATATACGATAAGGTGTAAATACGTTAAGTTGTTTGCGAATACGATAGGCAGAATATACGGTAAGCTACCTCCAAATATGGTAAGCTGTATATATATATTTATAATTTGTTATAAATGCATAAAATTTATTTAATATTGAATTTCTTAATTATTAAATGTTGTAATTCAATATTGTAATTTTATTATGCATTTTTATTTTTTGCATTTTGTGAAAAAATTTATTTATGGTGATTGATAAATATTCTTCCACACACGCATCATGCCAACAATATAAAAAAAATAATAATTTTAGTATATATAAACTCCATGAGACAAAAAAAAATATTAAAAATTAAAAAAATAAAAATCCCCACATGAGCCAAAAAAAATAAAAAGACTCTACGAAGGGATGACAAACTATCTTTCCGCACAATGTGAAGAGAAAAAACAAAAACTCTCGAGACTTTATCTGCAAGTTCCAAGAGGCATTTTTTCAAACAATTTTTGAGCAATGTATTGAACATTTTAATTACTGGCCTACAACCCGAAAGTATAATTTCATTGAAAATTGTACCCGTTTCTAATGTCCAAGAGTTGTTATCAAACAAGTGTAAAATATTGAATTTGGGTGGTACCTTAGAGCCTCCATTTGTGAAAGCAATGTCATGGTACTATCAATATCCCCTTCTTTGCACAACTCACATATTATTTCATTGTATGAATCACGCCAAACTCATTTTCAATATAGTAAATATGATTTACATGCTCAGAAATTGAGTTATGACTGAAATTTAAAAAAGACATAATTAATTTTGAGCCATGTTTTTCGATTCTATTTCGTTGTATATACGAAAAATTTACAATTTTGAAATTTGACTTGAGTGCGGAGAGTTTTTTTTTTACTCCGCACTGTGCGAAAAGTTCGTTAACTCTCCACATATGGTTCAACTCTCTCTACACTGTGCGGAGATTTTTTTTCTCTCCGTACTTTTTTTTTCCCGCACATGGTTCAATTCTCTATGCACTATGCGGACCAACTCTCCGCACTGTGCGAAAAGATTAACTCTCTCCGCACAGTGCAGAGAGTTTTTTTTTTTTTTTTTTGCTCTCCGTACTGTGCGAAGAGTTAGTTTGTCATCTCTTCGCACTGTGTGGAGAGATTTTTTTTATTCCGTATTGTGCAAAGAGTTTGCCAACTCTCTGCACATGGTTCAACTCTTTCCGTACCTTTTTTTATTTTTACTCTGCAGTTGGTTCAATTCTCTCCGCTCCGTGCGGAGAGTTTTTTTTCAATTTTACAATATTGAATTACACAAAATTTAGAAATATAATATTCATATTCAATTCAATCATATCAACACTATCAAAGAATAAAAACAAAATAATTTGTATATTTCTTATTCAAGTATGAAGCATATTTTTTTCTAGATAACATACTGCTATGCAATTGTAAAAATAATTTACAATTATTTTCTTATATTATGGAAATATTTTTAGATATTATTTCAAAAACTTCTCAAAAAAACTAAAATTCATACACTAATAAAAATACGATAAATATAAAATTCGTGCAACGCATCACGACTAGTCTAACAAATATTACCAGATCGAAGAAGGGAAAATGTTAGCAAATGGAGAATATGAAATAAAAGACAGGAGATAAAATCTTGGTAATATTCCAGAATCTTAAATAGGAAAGAATACATAAAAGTTAAATCTTGATTAATTCTATGTTGCTAAGCATAGGTCAAATCAATATATAGCAAACAATTTCAGATTACAAACTTTAGTAAGTCAAGCAAACTTAAAAGCCTAGAGATTTGCTTGCTACATATAATATGCATCAAAGAAAGTTCCAAGTTAAATTCTCAGATTTCAGTACTAGATTCTTTGAAGGTAGACACAGAAATAGAGCCCGGCACATCAGAAGTAGCTGAGTAGCCAAAATCACCTGACTCTGGGGTGGCACGATCAGCATCAGCAACTTTCTTACAGAGGTTGTATGGTGCCGAGTTCATAGCCCTGTACAAGCAGATGAATTGAAGAACTAAACATTTTCAATACTGGAAATTTTACACAGTACTACCTAGGAAGCAACTAAAATGAGAAGCGCACACAAACACACAATCAGAGAGAGAGAATATGACAGATATATAGGTTGTTCCTTAGTTTGTCTGCGTGAATATTTTCACCAAGTTTGAGTTGCCAAAAATGGATTTTCATCATGCCTCCCTCCAACAAAAAATAATTTTCCCCAACATTCATAAACGACTTTAAAAACTCAAAACTCAAAAATAAACAGAAGAATGGACAATAGTTTACCTCTCCTTGCGTTTCTCGAAAAAGCGAGCCAGGGATGCTTTGCGTGCCTGTGGAGCAGCTGCACAGAAATCCATCTTTTAGTACAAGTTATAATATTTGGCCAAATATTGGATTACTGGTGATTAAGAAGTTAATCCATGGTATTGAGATTAGGAAGTAATTTGGCACTACAAAAGCACAAGCATATTTTTGATGAAATTTATGAAAACAATTTTTAGACAAGAAATAAACCACTATAGATAGACAAATCCAGAAGCGGTAAAGCACATTTAACTGAAGCTGAAAGTATAATGTTTAAAAATTGAAAAATTGTAACATCAGAGCATGACATACCAGATGATATTATCTCTGTTGCAGCTATAGATCCTAGTGATGTTACCCTTCTTGGAGGCTCAGCTTCGCTAACAATATTGGCTGAGAAGCCAAGGGAATTAGATACCTTGACGTCTTCATTGTTTGAAGCGGGTGTACTTCTAGACTGATCAATAGGATGAGAGGAAACAGATACAGGACTTGAGAGAACAGAGCAACGTGTCACATTCATGCTTTGGTTCACCAATGCTCCATCAGCTGCTGCAACTTTGGAGGTAAGTGTATCAACGGACAGTCTTGGTTGAGCCATGTTAGATGAGACACAACCATTTCCAGCCAAAAGTATAATCGCCTGAGCCTGGAAAATTCCCCAGTGAAAGGGTAAAGAGGTTTAAGAAACTTTCACTTATCATTATAAAAAATAACAAACACAAGGGCACACACAAAGCACCTTCTCTGGGGAGATTTCGTCAAAGACATTCACTTTTCCAGCATAAAAGATTGTCAACTGAGCAGGAGCAGCAGAAGCCTTAGAATGAAACCTACAACAAGCGAAGCATTGAAAGCAAAGTTTTGATTTTGATGGGAATTAATCCTCTTCCTTCGTCCCTTTCTTAAAATAATTTAAACTGTATACTCGTCAAACAAACATAATATACAGATCCTGCAAAAATGAATAGGCGTAAAACATTACTACCACAATTACAATTATTACTATTTGTCCGGTGACAGCCATATAATTATATATTTATATACAAATAGATTATATCAAATAAGTTTGAAGTGTACCATTGTTTGGTTGTCCCAAACACAGAAGCAGTGGGAGGAATCTCGCAGAGAAATTGTTGCTTCTTGGTAGCATCCTCAAACTTCTGACCAGAACCCATAAAATGAGTTTTGTAAAAACGATTGGTCATGGAAGGAAGAACTGAGTGCTGCTGCACATCATAATTTATGTACTTCTGAGATATTAACTACCATTCAGGAGGAGACTTCAAAAGGCACAGGTTATATATAACGTTATCAAATGTCAATTTCCAATAAAATGCATGAATTTCTTTTAACAACTGAAATTATTCAAGGATTGAAAATGTCGACTTTCATCTGAACTTTTTCACTAGTCAAGCAACAAAACTTAACTTAGAAAAAGAGGAAAACGTTTCTTCAAACAAAACGCGAGTTCAAGCCTTACACCTGAAGAACACTGATGTCACTCAAATGTGGAACAAAATTCAACCTGAATATTGCCTGATCGTTGTTTTTGGCTAGCATCAAATAAGTCTGCAGCAGATTTTGCAACGACTCCAGGAGATGCAAGAGGATCTGACTTCATTTCTGACAGTGTTTGGTGTTGTTCAGATTTGGAGGATGCAAAATGAGGGAGGGTGGTCTCCTCGTTTGACAACAGCAATTGAACTCCTGAACTATTGGTGAATCCTTTGAACAAAAATAACATGCCAGAAACACAGAATCAGATATAGAGGGAAGCATGTAACAAGAACATGAGGATACAAATATAACAATTTTGAAGAAGCTTAATCAAGAAATATAACCAATTTAAATCTGTCCGAGTTAAATTTTATGGAGAATACAGTGAAAAGTTATACCCTTTTTAAATAAAGGTATGACACAATCATATTCATTCAGAGTGAAGTACTTGTGAAATTTTAAGGCAAAATTATTTCCTTGTGACTGTTATGAATGAGGAAACGACTTTTACCCCATTGATCATTCCTCCCAAAATTCAAAAGTTAGATGTATTTTTCTTCTGATGCTTACAAATAACTAGTCAAAGCTATGCCTACTAATTGGCTGGTATTCTAGGAGATATTTATAATTTAAATACAGGACTTCTTTTTTTTTCTAAATAATAAGCAACTTGAAGCCTATCCTTCTTTTCACACTATTTATATGAAAATAATGGTCAAAATTGATTAAATTGTCAACTGCCCCTATTGAAAATTGTCATAATTGTTTACAAATTATGCAAGGAAATTGGTTGAACAAGCTAGCTGGAGATGATTAACTACCTTAACCAAAGGGATTTGTACACACTCAGTTCACCATATCCATATTCCAATATTTCTCTCTTACTTGCTAATTCTAGACTGAAGCTTCTTAATTATCAAAAATTAATCCAACTGTGGAGAAATTTCTTGATATTTTACAAATTAAAGAATAACTTTCCAAATCCGAAAATAGCATGAAAACTGGAAATAGAAAGGGGACCAAACAAGATAGTGGAAGAAATGAAATTCAAACACAACCCATTAACCAAACGCAATATCGAAATATAAATTTCAGAAATTTCATCAGTCGAAACTCAAAATATTTGCGTGCGCGCAAGTGTCAGAATGAAATAGAAAGAGAAATCACCAGAATCTTTGCAGTCTTGTACAATTTCTTCTTTAATTACAGCAACTGAATCCTTAGAGCTCAATCCCATGCGGACTCTCTCCATCGTACCTCAAAATCTAAGAATAGCTAAAGCAAAATTCAAAAATAAGTGTGAAAAGCTTCAAATTCGACAAGGCTCAAAGATCTCTGCTTTCTATCAATAAACCCAGATTTCCAAAAGCAGAGTTCATATGCAGAAAAACTTTAAGAAGCAGAAAGAAAGGAGTAAATGTTTCACCAAAATTGTTTCCAACTCCAATCTGCAGCAAACAGCAGAGAGAGAAAAAGAGAGAGCGCGCTTTATTTATGTTTTTCCTGTATCGGATCAATGATCATGTTTCGCTAGCTTAACAAGTCTAATTTAGTGTAGGGACGGTTAACTTATAGAACCGGTATAAAACTGGCTGAGCCGGTAAATCACCATGTGCACATAATAAAAATCGCACCCTAGACCTACTACTCTCCAATTGTTGGCTGCTAGATTTACCCAATTATAGACTGACACGTTTGCAACTGTCCATTTCCTCGTCCTTAGACAACACGTTACATGTTTACAAGGCAAAAAAACATTAATAGTTTCGAAGAGCATGTTTGGCATGTCTTTTCAAAAAGTAGAGGCTATTTTTAGATTAAATATCCTTTCTTTTTTTTTTTTTTTTTTTCAA